CTAGAATATTGTACGTAAATTTCATCATACGTGACTTAAAATGAGCATACAGTTCTCCTTTCAGAGATCAAAATTTGCATATACGAATGTAAACTCGTAAATATAAAATGTTCAGCACAGTTACGCAATCAGAAAAACTGATATAAATTTCTTAAATTCAGTTATGCAAATTTTTTAATTCAAAAACTGGTTTCCAGATTAACAGTGATAAATTTTTATTGAGTATTGGCTCTAAATTATCAGTTTTTTTCTCCAAAATCTCAGCTAAGTGATAATCCCTTTTCAAATCTTCATGGAAACTGTTTTCAGCAGATTTGAGCTTTTGTTTGATTCAGTTATTTGTAAACCTCATTGAAAATTAGTAGAAAGTTAACTAATAAGTTAATTAAACCTTGTACAGATCTAATCTGATGAAAGGTAATGCTATATCTATGTACAGTTGCATTAATAGACAAAATCCATGTCATTGTGTGCCTAATTTAATAAAGTCACTGATTTGATGAGCTAAAAAATTTAAAATCCATTTATTTTAACACTTTTGTTAAAATTAGTCAGTCAAACAGTATAAAAGTTAGCTTTATGTGAAATAGACTTACTCGGAGTGGGGCATTTTCCACAAGTTTTAGGGCATTCAGTGGACATTAATTGTTCGTACAAAGGGTCTTTGCAAAGATGTTTAAGTGCTGGACATGATGAAGGTTTGTTAGGTGGTGCTCGATCCACGCAATCACATAAAATAGTCCGAACAAGCTTATTATTTCGAGTTTATTATTTCCATTTGCAAGAAAGATTTTTGCTTTCACTCAAATTAAATGATAAAAGACAAATTTTTATTAAATTAATTTTTTGATTTATAAAATTATTTTGAATTATTAAATATTAAGCTTACTATCTGCTTAATTTATCATGTTTATTAACAAAAGTTGATCACCTCTATAAGTGAATACGTCAAAAAGTTCGTTGATAAAATCTTCTATTTTAATTAAATTCAAAGACTTACCTTGAACATTTTCGCTTATAATAACAAGCTGAAAACAAATGATAATAAATAATGAAAGCATTACGTATTCTTGACTTGTAATTTTAACGTAAAGCGCGATAGCCTTTTAACAGATTATGATGTTGTAGCACTTTGATAGTGATTTTATAGTGCTACTTTCAGTATTTTTGTGGTATCTAAATGTTTGCACACCTGTTATAATCCATGATTTCTGGCAGTGCAATTATTTTGTTATCAGTGATTAAATATCATTTTGGAGCATTTTGCGTTTTCGCTAAATATCATTTTCATGTTTGTTACCGTTACAAATAAACCCTGGAAATAAATATTTTATTATCAGATTTATTGATAAATTCAAACTATAAAAAACATTAAATAAATAATTCAGCAAACATGCGAATAATGAGAATATAGCAGATGTTTCAATGATAAAATTACAGGAAAGTTTCGGACAAAAATACAGTATGCGTTCTTTAAATACTAATGGTAATAACAACAGCAATGTAATAACAATTTGTATAACTGATGACAATACTAAAATGCAACTTGATATAGGTGTGTAATATAAAGCTGTAAAAACTTCAGAAAAAAGTTATCAAAGTTTAAAGTGAGAAAAATAAAACTAATGTAAGCATAATGTCGAAAAAATACAAACGATAATGTAAACATAATATTGTAATCACAAAATACTGCAAAAGTTAAGAGAAAAAATTCTTGTAATCATAGAATACACTTAATACTCAGCTGATAACACGGAGATTAATTTTAAGACCAAATTGTCATATTACTGATAAGATCACTGATAATTTTTCGGATGAAATTTGTCCTGGAAAATGTTCTAGGAACAACAAATGCATTTTTGACGAAGAACAGATGCTGTAAATTGTATCAATATTAGAGAAAGATGATTTATTATAATTCTTAGTATTAAATATACTGTACTATTTATATTTACATATTTCGTATCATCCCAGAAATCATTAAAGTAGAAAAAATTCACTGGTTATTGATCGGGCCAATATAGATCAATACAGATCAAAAGAAGAGTTGGAAGTAATCTTACTCTAAGAACATTTATAATAAAGTTTGTACTTATATAATGACAGTTAAAAAATCCCTATATTATAATATTTATTCAAATCAATCTTCTATTATAATATTTATATGCTTGACAGAGTAGTATTTATTTATTTTACTGAGAGAAATCACATCAAAACTGATTAGAGAACATAAGTTCATGAAAAAGGAATTAAATCAGATCAGATCAGATCAAATCAAATCAAATAAAATTAAAAGCATTAACTTTACTTAAAGGATGATTAACAATATGGCTGATGTGTTTAGTTGGATAGCGCCGAACAACAAAATTGTTTCGATATTGTTGTCGTGGTTTTTCACAATGTTTACACTTACAACCACACGTAAATCTTCTGAAAAGTATTTTTCAACTTGTAGTTATCACTAAATTTATAAATAAAAATGTTAAAATAGTCTATTTATGGATAAACTTACACTAACGAACATTATAAAAAATAAATAATTGAAGCTAAACTTAAAATAAATGTAATAAAACGAATAACGCTGAAAAAAATCTATTGAAAAATAAAATTCAGCAATTATTAAATAAAGACAAAAAATGTAATTGAACAAATATTCAAAAATATTTTGAAAAAGTAGAATTACACAGGTGCTGAAGTGTTGGCAACAATTGCTGCACTATTTGCTGAACAGCCATCACAGTAAACAATAGAATCAGCAGATTCAGTTTTGTATATTTGATTATCATATGATCCATTGTAAGACTAAAATACAAAATTTTATCTCTCAAATTCAATTTAAAAAAGCAGTAAAATAAGTATAAAGTTACAATTTTTCGATCAGTATGCAAATAAGGACTTGAATTTGATAAGTTTGTGCAGCGATCTTTTAATGCTAATGGCGCAGGATATGTTTCAAATATCACAGTATGATGTGATTCTCGGGATTTCGCCGAAATCGAATCTGCATTTGGTGCTAAGAAGCTGAAACTTACTACTAATTACAAT